TCTAACTTGCACCTTATCGTATTGTGCAACGTTGTTTCAAAGGTGATGCCGAAGATAATAGCAAACCGCATGAAGGAGCTCTTGGGTAGCATTATCTCGGAATCACGAAGCACTTTCATCCATGATAACATTTTGGTGGTTATGGAGACGAGGATTTTTTAAGGCGCAAGACTAAGGGGCATACAGGTTGGGAAGACCTCAAGCTCGAAACTGTCAAGGCCTATGACCGGATAGAGTGGGGTTTTCTAAAAACTATGCTGCAAACGTTGTGTTTCGCATCTAAATGGATTGAGTTGATTGCCTTGTGTGCCAACACAGGCCGTTATAATATTCTAATCAATGGGAGTCTAATGGCCCTTCCCGTGGACTTAGACAGGGGGATCCCTTCTCCCCTTACATCTTCATAATATGTGCAAAAGGTTTGTCGCTTTTACTACAAGAGGCGAAAACGGAGTGTAAAATCAATGGTTGGCATGTGGCTAGAGGCACACTGGCCGTTTCAAGTAGTAAACTTAGCTCTCAAACTAGGAGTCAAAGAGGACGAGGAGCTATGAAGAGTAGAAGCAACAAAATGTTGAAGAGGAAGAGTAGAAAGACTCAAAAGACCAGAAAATTGCAATGACCGAAGAGTGGAAGAGCTAACCTTATCGAGAAGTGGGGATTCAAAGAGTTAACTTAGATAATAGTTAACTTATTCGAGTAGTAAGAATGACTATTCGTTAGTCATCTCCGAAAGGTTACAAAAGGTTGTGATACGAAGAGTTAACTCGAAAGATAAGAGTTGACATCTCGGATCTACTATTCGAGACATTCTCTGAGTTAACAGTTCGAAACCTTAAATGTCATGAATTTTATGCGAAATTTTACCAAGATAATTGGAGTCCTAGGTACACATTTCAATGAGGATTTTTCTTAAAAGCATAGACAAAGAGTGAAGTACAAAAAGTAAAGTGCAGCAGATAAAGGCGTCTCAACAGCTGTAAAATATGACATAAAGTTACCTTTTGCAATATCCATTGGTCATTACCCAAGGGTTAAGAGATGTTTCCAATTTATCTCTCTCCAATGGATTTATTTTAAATAGTCCTATAAATACCTTCAATCAAGATTAAAGAAGGTGTTGGTTATATTATTGAAAGTTACAATTATTCAAAGCGTTCTAAGTGCTAGAAAACCTGACCAGTGAGAGAAGAGTAAGGAGCTAAAAATTCCAGATCAAGCTTAGACTTTGGCCTACGATAAGTGAAGATTCAAGTGCCAAATCTACAACAAGTTGGAAGAATCAACAATCTTTGTGTTGCAAAAAGTTGTATGTTTACTCGGTGAAGTAGAAAGAGGCGGAGTAACAAGTGGTGACTTGTGAAAAATCTGGAAACTTGATGTTGGCTTTTTGTTCAAGGCTCAAATGTTCTTTTGTACTAAGGGGTTTAGTGCAATCCTCCAAAGAGTTTTTGGAGAAGAGTAGAGTAGGTTGGTTTTATAACTGAACCACTATAAAAATCTCTCTCTTTTCTTATTTTACATGCATTTATATTCAAGTCTTTAATCCAACAAAATCTAAAATTTGCTAAGACTAAAATTCTGCTTAAACTTAAAAAGGGTTCACGTATTTCCACAGCCAAATCCTTTATAAAAAGTTATTCTAACTTAAATCCATTTTAAGTTTAGAATTTCTGAATAGTAGATTTTAAAAAATCTACACAAGTCTATTCAATCCCCCCTGCCCCACTGGACTTCTGATTCGAACCCTTCAGGACCAACATTTACCAATTGTGAGGGGGTGCAATAGACGGTTGTGTTAGCCTATAGCGAGGATAAACTGCGTTACATGCTAAGGTGGTACAATACGAAATTTCTTTCTAAAGCGAGCAAAAAGGTGTTACTCAAGACAGTTGCCCAAACTATTCCTACATACATGATGAAAGTCTTCTTACTTTCCAAGACCTTTTGTTTATGCTTGGAGATGCTGATGAATAGGTTCTAGGTGGGGGTGGGTGGTAGTCTTTGAAGTAGGAGTGTGTATTGGTACGCCTAGAACCAATTGTTCGTCCTGAAGAAATTTGATGGGGTGGGCTTTAAGGACGTTAATTGCTTCAACAAGGCACTACTTGCTAAACAAGGGCGGCGACTCCTCACCTCGCTTAACAGACTTGGAACAAGAATTTTCATGGCCAGGTACTATGCAACCTCCACTTTCTTGGATGCTACCCTTGGCCAAAATCCAAGTCACTATTATAGGAGCATCTTAGTTTCAAAGGATTTCCTAAGGAACGGGTTGGGTAGACAAATTGGGAATGGGCAGAACATCCCTATTTGGAATGTCCCGTAGCTACTTGATGTTTCCAACCCATGCGTAACTATTACCCCCTCCCCCCGCCTGCCCCATCTTTCTAAGGCTAAGGTGGCATTGGTCATGGTGCTGAATGGTAGAGGATGGAATTAGAGTTTCTTGAAGGATGCCCTTGAAGATAGGGACGTGGTGTAGATTCTTAGAGTCCCCATTACCCGTGACTTTGAGGACATTTGGTTTCGGAGAAACAATATGAGAGGACTGTATTCGATGGGAGATGGCTATTGTCGGCTTATGGGCGAGGTGTAGCTCCCAGAAGGCTACTGTACTGGGTGTAGTAAATTGAATTTACGGGTACCGCCAAGACTCTAGAACCTTCAGTGGCGGGCTGTTAAAGACATCCTTCCAATCGGAGTAAAGATCGTGTCTAAGGTAAGTGATATTGAGGCATATTGTCCGTGTTGTGGGAAGACTGAAGAAATAGTGGATCATGTGTTGTTGAGGTATAAATTGGCCCATGAGGTTTGGATGTTATCTGCCTGTTTCCGCTATGATTCAAGGCACGCAACGTCTGGACTAGTGGTTTCAGAAGATCCTTGATAATGCTAAAGAGGAGCAAATTACCTGGACAATGTTCATTCTAGGGCTATTTGGCATGCCCGTAACCTCTGGTGTTAGGATAACTTTCCCCGTTCAGAAAGCAAGGGTGGAGATCAATGTAAGCCCAATAGTCCAGTTGGCTGGCGGTCTATGCAGGTCCTACTAGCGTTCTGTCGTGGAGAAGCCAAAGCCGGAACAAGGAAACTTATCCCTATGTGTGTCGAGTGGATGCGGTGCTCTTCCCCCAAGAGGAAAAGGTGGCAAACGGAATGGTTTTTTTTTTTTTTTTTTTTTTTTTTTTTTTGAAAAAAAATGTTGGTTTATTATTACTATTATTATTATTTATTTTGCAAACGAAATGGTTTTATTCACATGCCAATTTGGGTTTGTTGTTGCTGCTTAATGGCTATTTCTGTTGTCTAGTGGATCGCTTCTTGGTGGAGCTTATGGCGACCTGGGAAGCACTCTCGTGGCTAAAAGTTTGAGGAATCACCAAAGTGCGGCTGGAGGCGTTCACGAGTGTAATCAGTGGTTTGGTTAGCCCGCAGGTCGGGTGCTCGTTCGTATGCGGGTCACATTTTTAGTTAGTGTTTTAGCTTAATGATATCTTTTGAATCCGTTGTTTGTCGTCATGTTAGGAGATCAGCGAACCTTGCTGCTCATGCTTTGGCAAAGGCAACTAGCTCTCAATCTAGCTCCCATTATTAGGATTGTAATCCCCCGAACTTTGTTCTTCCTCTTTTTACCAAACTTTTCAAAATTTACACTAAATTTAAATTTTTTCAATACAAATGATTCACCCTTATCAAACTATATGTTGGCTTGTCTATTAATTGGCAATGATCTAATAATATCATTTGGTTAGCTATCCATGAAATAATGAATTAAATCTGAATTAGTTAATTTTTTTTTAATATAAATAAGAAAATGGAACAAAAATCTCACAGAAAATACCAAAAAGTCTTCTTTCATCTTACTTATAATGTTTTTTTTTTTTTTTTTTGGTCAAATCAATTATTTTTGCTTTTTAAAAAAAATTAATATTATTTAATTTGATTTCTTTTGTATTTAATATAATTTTTATTTAGCTTATAAATGCATTTTTTTATTACTATTGTATTAAATATTTAATTTAATATTAGTATATGAAATTTATATATTTATAAATTATATTAAGAGTTTGTAGAAGCACAAAAACAAAAGAAGCTAAATTAAATAAGGTTGAAAAATATGAAGTACAAAAAAGCATGTCAACTTTTTCTTCAATAAAGAAGGCGATTGGCGATCATTCGCTTGCCATCAATCGTCGATTTTACTCACCGAAATCTTAATAATCGGCTATTGCAAGTGAATTATTGTTTTTTATTTTTTTATTTTTTGTTTTTGTTTTTGTTTTTTGCTGTCGATGATCGAAAATGGCATGTTCAACATTTTAATTGTAATTTTTAAAAATTTATAGGCTAATTGACATTTCGTATAAAGTATATGAGCATACTTGAACATTTCCTTTAATTTTTTAAAAATTAAGACAAACATAGTTGGACAGTCTTTTATGCATTTACAAATAGTCACGATAATTGAGACAACCCCCTTCAATGACTGCTAGTAATTGTTCTTAGAAATTTATCTTTATTAGAAAATGAGTAGTATTAATTTTTAGTCACACATTAACACATAAAGCGCAAAATATCACTTATTAGTGAAATCAACATTAACTTGTTGAATAGGTAATTTTAAGGTTCAACTGCACCATTTACAAATTTAAGGAGTTTAAATGGAAATTTTTATCTGTTAAGAGCTCGATTGCACCATTCGTTCTGCTTAAAGTAGTTATTTACTCTGTAAGTTTTTTCTCTAAAATATACATTTCTGTCCCATATTATGTGTCTGGTTCAATTAACGAGGTTTAACTGAAGTTATTTTTAATTCAATTTTTTATAATATTAAATTTAGTATTAGTATACAAAATTTATATATTTAGAAACAACACTAAAAGTAGTATTTAACACCAAAAAAAAAAGTAAAAATACTAAAGAAAATAAACAAAGAAAAAAGAGTTAATTTTGACCAATAAATAATAAGTATGACAGATAAAATTTGACAAAGGGAGAAATAATTTTGTGTGTGATATTATATTATTTCACCGTTACATCAATAAATTGTATTAATATGAAATAACTCGATGAGTCCACTTGGACAACTCAATTGGTCACAAGGGTAAAGTTTGGGAACAATGACCCGAGTTCAAGTCTCACCAGCGGCAGTGTAGGAGCAACCTCTTAAAGTGAGGAGGGCTCTTTGTGCCCAGTAAGCAAATGTTTAGCCTCTAAGTTATCCTGATTTACATACTCTTCCTTTGAGATTAGATGCTTTATCGGGCGGGATTGGAGATTCAACCTTTTAGAAATAATGAAATAACTTGACGGCATTTCCTTGGGAAAGAAACAGAAATAAGAAATGTACTTTATCTTCTTCAAAAAAAAAAAAGAAATGTACTTTATCAAAAAAAAAAAGGAATAAGAAATGTAAAGTGGAAATGTTTACCAAAAAAAAAAAAAATGTAAAGTGGAAATAAAGAGAACAGAGTAAAAAGCTATTGTCTTGCTGCACGTGTTATGCACCTAACTACTTACTGATTTAATTAATACTCCCTATTATATAGCTACTAGTCAAGGGCACGCGCTATGCGCGAAACATCATGCCCAATAATCAATTATTATGTTTTAATTTTTATTTTTTAATTTTAAAACGAATATGTTCTAATTTTTAAATAATAATATATATAATTTTTAATAATTGTTATAGGACAAAATAAATAAGAATACATAAATAAGTTATTTAGATACCAACATGATATACAAGAATTGAATTAGGAACATGCGGGAGGATATTAGATTTGGTTTTGAGGGAGAGAATGAAGATGTTAGCTAGAATAATGTAGTGATTTTTAAAAAAAATGTTAAAACAAAAAAGAATGGAGTGTTGGAATGATGGAAAAAAAAAACAAATATCACATCAAGGCAAAGAGGAAGAAGACAAAAAAGTAATGGTAAAGTTGTTATTTCTTTAAAAATTGAGGGTAATTAAAATGAAAAAATAAATCAAAAATTAGATCAAAAAATTTCATCCATTAGATTTGAAATCAATGGTATGCAAGGGGTGCCATTTTTTAGGGGCAAATGACAACTCCCAAATATAAGTATAGGGAGATGAGTCACTGAATCTTATACGTAAATATGATGTTGTCTGATTGTCGGAACCATAAAAAATGTTAAAGATCTTAGATCTCACCAGATAATAATAATAATAATAATAATAATAATAATAATAATAATAATAATAATAATAATAATAATAATAATAATTTGTTATAATGTATTACTCCTCCCGTCCTATTTTATGTGTCTGGTTCAGTTAACGAGGTTTGACTGAAGTTATCTTTAATCTAATTTTACATAATGTTAAGTTTAATATAAGTATAAAAAATTTATATATTTAGAAACCACATTAAAAGTACTATTAAATACAAAAAATTGAATTTAAAAATAAGTAAAAAATACTAAAGAAAATAAACAAAGAAGAAAGAGTTGAGTTGACCAATAAATAGTAAGTATGACAAATAAAATGGGATAGAGGGAGTATTATAATAATAATAATAATAATAATAATAATAATAATAATAATAATAATATATTATTATTATTATTATTATTATTATTATTATTATTATTATTATTATTATTAGCTTAATTTGTTATAATGGAAAGAAAATTTCAAAAAACAGAAAACAAAAAAGTGGGTGATTCATTATATCAACCATTTTGGCGGTCTCATTAAAAAAGGAAAAAAAAAAAAAAGAAAGAAAGACAAAGGCCTTGTTTGGTGACATATATAGTTAACTTATCAGTTAATTTTGACTTATTTGACCACTATTAGCTATTTGATTTGATTAAAGAATCAATATGAGTGTTTATTTAATTAGCTTTTTGTAACAACTTATTGCTCCAAAATGCTAAAATTTAAAAAGTTGTTCAAAACAACTTTTTAGATTAGCTTTTTGAGAAAGTCATTTTGCATGTAATCAGCTATAAACTAACAGCTAATGGCAAATTATGCTGTGCATCCGTATGCACTATGCATGGTGCATACGGATGCAAAAACGACGTCGTTTTGCGTCAAAACGCGCGTCCTACTTTAAAAAAAAAATCAGTTTCGATTCCCAGCAACAACATTATGTTATTCATTTTTTAGTTTATTCATTCTAGATTTTTAGTTATGAAATTCTGGATGTATAGTTATGCAATTCTGGATGTGTAGTTAGGAAGTTATGGATGTGTAGTTATGCAATTCTGGATTTATAGTTATGAAGTTTTATGGATGTGTAGTTATGCAATTCTGGATTTATAGTTATGAAATTATGGATGTGTAGTTATGTAATTCTGGATGTATAGTTATGAAATTATGGATATGATGAAATTATGGATGTGTAGTTATGCAATTCTGTTTGTTTGTTTGTTTTTTTTTTTTTTTTTTTTTTTTTTTTTTTTTTTTTTTTTTTTAAGTTAGACGTCAAAACGACGTCGTTTTTGCATCCGGATGCACCATGCATGGTGCATACAAATACACAGCATAACGATCCACAACTAATTTACTAAACATTTTTCTACAAACAGCTAATGTTATCAACTAGTTAAACGCACTAACCCAATCAGCTAACAACTATTTACCAAACATCCCCAAAGTGTTTTTAAATCCCGGGAGACCCTTGATAACTTGAGATGAGAAGTGTTTATATTATATTTTGTACAAAAATTTAAATTACTTTATAAAATAAAGTGAAAAGGATCAAATAAACTCTCAAAATATACTGAAATGTATAATTAAATCCTTTTTACCTGTTTTAACAAGTTATTTACATGTAATGCCTTGTTATATTTTAGTATTATTATTATTATAATTTATTTTTGTTTTTCTTTTTTATTATCAAAATAAGCTTTACTATTTTAGCCACCATTGGTGTGTTACTACTGCCGCCGACTTGTCGCTGCTCCATTTGCTTGCCGCTGCCGCTGCGTTTTGGAAGAACGAAATCCATCGTTGTCTTCTTCCAAAGGCAGCCAATGCCTTCTTCCAGTCTGGAAGAAGGAATCAACGACCTTCTTCCAGATTTGGAAGAAGGTAGCGATTGCCTTGTTCCAGTTTGGAAGAAGGTCGACTTCCTTCTTCCAGTCTAGGAGACGGTTGCGGCCTTCTTCCTAGTGTGCGGTGATAGCGAGCGGTTGGCGGTTGTCAATCGTCGAATAAAATTTAGAAGATGTTTTTTTTTTTTTTTTAATTTTTAAATTATGATTATTATTATTAATTAAAAATTAAATTTAATATAATATATTATTTTTTAAAAATATGTGGAAGTCACATCAGCTCGCCAAATCAGCTTGAAAAATCCAATAATCAAGTAGTTGACCGGTACCCTGAAGGCAACATGCAAAATTGTGCTAATTGCACCTTTTTTTTTTTTTTTTTTTTTTTTTTTTTTTTTTTTGTGTGTGTGTGTGTGTAAGTTTGAGATTCTGATTGGAGCTTTTGAAGTTGAGGGGCCTAATTGCACAAATCAATATAGTTTGAGTGCTTATTTGACCCTTTATCCCTAAGTCCCCCATGAATTACTAGTCGCGCAATCAACTCACCGATCAGATCTTAGGGTGTGTTTGGTTCACACATATGAATTGGAATCGGAATCGGAATGAGAATCAAATACTTGGTAATGATAATAGGTTTTGGTGAAAGTATTTTGCATGTTTGGTAAGGTGGAATTGGAATGATTATCAATATTGTTGTTTGGTTATGTATGATCCTATAATGGGAATAAAGATTTTAAAATACAAAAACAAAAAATCAAGACAATTTATTCTAATATAAAGACATCCAAAGCACCAATATGAACAAAAAAATAAAAACAAAAATCTAAAAGCACTAATCTAAACTTAAAAATCAAATTACCAATTAGGAGGGAGAAATAATGGAATGAAACCCTTATTTTATTAAGAAATCAGTTTTCTAATTAAGGGGGTAATCATATTTCATAGTAATATTTTAGAAACCTAGCAACCAAACAATAACAATGACTTTGATTCCCATTCATGATTGCTAAACCCATGAACCAAACACACCCTTAATCTTCATGTGCGCACAAAAGATCCAATTCAGACTTTCCAACATCTTTGAACCTTTTTCCCATATATGTTTCCAATGAGATTTGAATCTCACATCTCCATTTTTCAGTCATAGGCTTTAAGTCAAGCGACAAACTAATTACACTAAACACGGGGCATAAATAAATATTTTTATGTACATACATCGTACCAATCACAGTCGCATTAAAGAAGTACTCTTTTGAACTTGACATTGACTTTTCAATTTTGATGAGACAGGTAGAAAGTTAACTAATAGACTACAAACAATCAATACAAGTGTTTAAGGTTATTTTTAAATAAAAAATATTTTATTCATTTTTTTTTTTATGTATGTCAGACTTGAGCCAAATTATTTATAATTTAATTTTTATAATATTTAGTTTAATATTTGTATATAAAAATTATATATTTAGAAATTATATTGAAAATATTATAAAAAAATAAAATTTAAATTTAAAAATTATAAGTAAATAAGTAGAAAACGAGAGAGAAAAGAACGAGTTCGTTTAATTAGCAAATTGTAAATACGATAGGTAACATGTGATATAAGAAGTATTATAAATGTTAAATTTCATATATATAATATTAATTTTTCGTAAGCAAATGTGTAATATTGATTTCATAACTAATATAATAATTGAATATATGTTACCATTTGTGTATTGCACAAGTGAAATGCTGGAACCTAGCGGGTGTGACTGAGTGGAAGGGACTCATCCACCCTTAATCAAACGTCAATGGTTCGATCCTTAATTTTGGGTATGATCAACCTTAAATTTTTAGGTCAACTGTCCAACCTAAAGCGAAGGGATTGATTACTGTATTCGACAGTGAAAACCTTGGATTATACCCAATAAAACAAGTGAAATACTGGTTTAAAGAAAGAGTTAATATCTAAAATGGTGTATCAACTCTGACATAATTTT